CGACAATTGACAAGGAATTGCAACGCTGATGAAACTGCCTCATTTCACTGCCTTCAATCTTCTGTGGCCATTTGGATCTGTGGAAGCGGATCATTTTCTGGAGCATCAGGTCATGTGGTGTTGCGACGCGTATCTGAGGTGTTACTGGGTTAGCTTTAATTGCATCTGCGACAACGCAACGAACTTCAGGTTCGATCGAGATGCATGCCGCTACAACGTCCTCTGGTCCTTGTCGATTTTTGTTCATGAAGCGTGATAAAGCATCAGCCTTACCAATGTTCCCGGTCGATTGGTACTTGCTTTCGAAAACATATCCCAACAGCATTGTGGTCCACCTCTGAAAGCGATTCGCTGAGTACACGGGAATGCCCTTGTAGGAACCCAAGATAGCATGTAGGGGCTTGTGATGCGTGACCAGAGTAAAATGACGGCCGTAAAGCATTTTGTGAAACTTCTTAATAGTGTAGATGACCGCCGATGCACTTTTTTCAATTTGCCTGTAGTTGCCTTCCGCAGGCGTCACCGATCGGGCGTCTTGAGTAGTTGCCTCCTCACTTCCGTTAGGAACGCGGTGAGATACAACCGCGCCGACCGTAATTAGTCGCATCTGTGGCAACAATGATATCCAATTTCGGATCGAAATGTGTCAACAGCAGGTCTGACGATAGCATGGCTTTGACCCTGTCAACAGTTTGACTGCATTCCGTACTCCAACACCACTTGGAATCTTTGCAAAGTAATGCGTTCACTACACCCAGTATATCCTGCGTTGCTGACAAAAATGCACTGTAGTGACTTACCAATCCCATGAAGGATTGTAGCGTCGTCATCTCATGTTTTGGAGACATTTTCTGAGTGGTCTCAATATTAGCGGGGTCTGGACGTCGACCATGTTGATCAGTCATGAATCTCAAGTATTTTACCGAACCCATGTAGCAGACACTTTTCTTCTCTCAGGCGAAAGCCATAATCTTGGTTTCGATCAAGCACCTTTTCATTCCGGTTTTGTAGATCCACCGGATCAATGCCCATGATAATGATATCGTCAAGATATGATGCAACAGATGTTACGTCGATAATTTGTTGAAAAATGGCAGGTGCCATTTTTACTACAAGTGGTAGGCGAGTGTATCGAAACAGACCGCGGTGAGTATTGATGGTCAGCAACTCTTGCGGATCCTCAGAAATTTCCAATTGAGGTATGTGTCAGATACTACCAATTTGGTGGAACATTTGCCACCATTTAGCCTTGCGAACTAATCATCCGACAGAGGCAACGGGTATTGATGGCTTTTCAGGGAAGCATTCAGACCAATGGAAAAGTCTGCACAAATTCGGGCGTTCCTATTTGGTTTCTTGACCACCAAATTACGAGACGCCCATCCGGAGTAATTCACAGGTTGAAGGATGCCAGCTTGTTGCAGTCTCTCCAGTTTATTCTCAACGCATGGTAACGCCGCATACGGTACCGGAAGTTTGGGTTGGAAAACTGGTTTTGCGTCAGGGCGGAGGGACAAAACCGCCTTGGTTTTCGTGCAGCAACCAAGGTTATCCCGGAATACTTGAGCGAAGTTTTGGCACAAACACTATGACAGCACATTACTGAGAGAAGTGATCACAGACTGAACACCCAACTGATTATACACAGAATTAAGTGGAACGTTCAAGCGCCTTGATTTTACGATCCAGTCAAGACCCAAAAGGTTTAGATTTGGACGATTAGAAAGGTAACACACGGCACAGAATTGCACATTATTGAAAAACACAGAACACCTAAGTTCACCTATGAGTTTCAGGACTCCACCGGAAACATTCAGCGCTGTGCGATTTGTCGGCTTTAGAGGAGGTTGTCCGATCATCTTCCGTGTGCTTTGTGACAATAAAGTAATATCAGATGCTGTGTGAAGCTGGAGGCGCACTTGAACGTTGTTGATCTGCACAGTCACATATATACGCCGGTGTTTTTGCGTCCGTGTCGAAGGTAGTCACAACAATGTTTATTTTGTACATCTGCCTTTTTGTACTGGCTAGATTAGGTTTTCGGAACTATTCCGTTGTTTGCACGGCAATGATCCTCTTTGTGTTCTCTTTTCTGTCTTTTCTGATCGTGATGCTTTTTGAATGGGCACATTCGGACATACTGCCAACCACCACCCTACCAGCAGGCTGTTGGGGTTTGTTAAAGGTGCCGCTTTTAATGGATTTATTGGGTTTTGCTGAGGTGCTTTTTCTCACAGCATGCACGTTAATGGGGCCAGGGACTGTTTCTCGTCTACTCATGGCAGTATCGTATTTCAGCTTCAGCAAACGGTGGCACTCTGAAATGACTGATCTCAGATTCATGATAGGCTCCTGCTCCACCTTACTGAGCAAACGGGTGCCAATCTAAGTCACGAGACGATTGAAAGCCACAAACATATAACATACACTTAAATTGGTCTTCCGTCATTTCCTTGAGCTTGAAACGCTCACACTGGCGGTTAACCGTGGTGGCATAAGAAAAATAATCATCATCGTCACTTTTGACAAATTTTAAACAAATAGAGTGTGCTTCCACAAAGTTTTCTTTCAACTGTTCAACGGTTTCGTCGAATTTAAAATCCTTCGCACTCTTATGAAAAATAAAATTCACAAAGCTCTCGTGTTCCTTGGTCCTAAGCTTTCTCAAGAGTAACCATGATTTCCAGTCATAGTCCCTATCAGTCAGCTCTGTCCGGGGTGTGTCCTCGTACCTCCTGAACCAAGATTCGAAAGCGCATCTGACATCTAGGTCATAGCTGAATTCTGTGATGCTTCCTGAGATTGCATCAGGAGACGACTGTTTCTGTCAGCTGACGACGATTAAACGTCCAATTTTTGCGACAGTTTTTCAATTAGCTGTGCCTGTGATTCCTCAAATAGATTCTATTGCTGCTGAAGGATCAAGGTGAGTTTTTCCATTGAAAGTGCCATCTTTGGGAGTTATTCCCAATTGTATTCCGTCGCCAGAAAAGTCTGTTTTTGTCTTCTATGTATCGCGAACATGCTGATCTCATAGCCCAAACGCTCGACTCAAAACAGAAGTCGAAAGACGTTGACAGCTAACACTGTCTTTCGAGACAAAACGAGGTACATGGAAGACGCTTTCATTGCTTTATAAAGTCCTACACGGGGCTTTATAAACTGTAAATGTGGAAGGCTGTCATTGGTTAAGGCAACGTCACTACCATGAGACAAGCGAATCATCGAGTCGGAAGGCTGAATGTTCTATCCGACCGATTTCGTTTGGGTCTGCGTACCCTTACACTTTCGCCACATCCCTAAGTTCGCTCCGGTCGCTTTGATTATTCGATAAGAAGACCAGTTTATTCGCCAGTAGAGCCAGAGCAATTACATGGCGCATGCTAGTTATTACTTGTATGGTGCGGTAGACCTGCATGTTCTTTGTCCTTCTTTATTCTTTACTTACCATTAATGGTAGCATAATCTTCCGAAACGCTGTTCTGACCCGCCTGTGCACTTTTCTTGCGGATTTCTAGGTTAAGGATCCGATTTTATTAGGGATATGTGTCACCCCGTTCTAATCCATTGGAGGTCATCCTATTAGCAGTAGCGACTTTTTTGAAAACCACCTACATATTGTTATTTGGGTAGTGTACTTTAGACAGGCTTCCAGATGATACACCAGCCGCACACGCGGACATTGAAGGCGGCTGCCGCATTTGGAGCTGGAGAATCGGGTGTGGAACAATCACTAGCTGCGCATTGACACGAAGCTGATGGTATATATGTATATATCTGTATTACATACCACAATCTATGTGCACATATCGTACCATTTAGCAGTTGCTTTTGCTTGTGAAAATTGTCGATGGGTCGGCCAACTCTTGCAGCAATGCATTTACTCCGAAGTTCCAATGAACATGTCAAACTCTGCGTCCTTAAGCGCCAACCTTTTCATCAGCGTTTGCTTATCATCCATTGCTATGAGACCCATTTTACCCGACCCGTGACCTTAAGGACCACAAGCATGTCTTGTAGTCTGAAGTCGCAGGTGCGAGACTACCTAGCGCCCGGGTGACTCTCCCGTTATCCTTAGCCCATGCGCGACTGGTGGTGATTGCGTGGCAGCGAAGCGTCACTACTGCATACCGACTACTGTTTCCTCTCTTTCTTTACTCTGTAGTACTCTGTAGCTAAGATCCAATGGACGAAGGTTGCGGTGCGTGGGAGCATAGATGACCTAGTGACTAGCTCATATAGAATAAATTATATAGGCTATCTATTTTCGTTACAGCTTTGTCATGTTTTGGTTGATTCTTTAGTCATCGCCTCCATATCTATCCTGTCATCTCCTAAACGGATTTTAGACCTGGGTTTATCTGACCTCTGAATCTTTATTTTGTTTGGCAACGTGTTTCATACGCTTTGCATCTGAAACTCCATACGTTTATACGGCTTTCGGTTTGCCATTGGTTACAGTTCACATTTTCATCTATAGTTTCATCCTGCTCTATGTGCGACAAATGATTTAAAGTACACTCGTTGAAAGCCTTCTTTTAACCTCAGCTCCATTTCACCACAGTTGCTTTTTCCCATTTTTGCTTTCTTGGCCGATTGCACATTCATCACCTGTACCTCAAGTAGCTATTATAATTGTGGCGGATTCGTTGACTTTCATGATTCATCCAATATCTTGTTTATTAAACGCTTTTTACTGCTTCTTGTATCCGTGCCATACCTACTTTAAAACGTCTAATCCTATTTTTCGCTTACACGCAACAGCTTATGGCAAACCACATTACATCTGTCTTCTAAAGATATACATCCTCACTACAGTTTATATTTTTGGATTTAAACTAACGCATCTTTTATTTTGTCTTTTACTGTAGCTGGTTTGCTGATCGGACTGGGTTACCGCCGACTTTCTCATGGCTTTGAAACCTATCTTCTTATTCACCTTTTAACCGAGTTCCCTGGATTACTTATCGGGATCTGACGCCCGGATCCTCAGGACTAAAATGCCATTCTTGCACCTTTTAGTCGTCCTCTTCGTGGTATGTTTCGATCAGTTATTTTACTTTTTTCCATCACACTGCTGTTTTAAGCCTCATACCCGGATTCTTTGGAGCGATATCTACCATCGACACCTTTCTTTCACGTGACCCACGTCTCGATTATGTATTCACTAGGATCTAATTGTATACTAAAAAGATGGCCACATTCGAGAAAGATAGTCCCAAAAGTATCCCGGGTTCTTTGGTACTGCCAGCGAAATTTCTCTGGCGAAGATTGATGATACGTATTTCTCCGGCAGCAATTGTGTTAGATTTTCGGACTTCATTTCGATCCAACCGCGCTAGAAACATCAATGACTGGAGATCACATTCTCATTCTCAGTGTCCTCTTCATAGAGCTTTAGCGAGATGGAGAAGTTATAGGAGATAACTGTTACGACCTGTGCTCAGTTCACTTGGTGTAAATGACGAGTGCCACGCGTTTTTTGTTGGTGATCGAGTGTATCCAACTCTGTGCATTGATCTTAGTTAAAGAACTATGCTCCAACTAGTTGGGTACTCTGGCTCCGGTTGCCATGACCCTTTTCTTCTAGATTATACTATCAAAAACCGGAAACCGGGAAAATGAGTTGATACGTGGGGTTCAAGAAATAGACTGATTAAAGTAGTTAAATTACTTGTGGTGAAAAGCTAGCAGCTAACTACAGGAAGCCCAATACCCGAGCGCCATTTGTTTAGTGGCTACACCACACCATCAGTTTTGCAGTCACCGACGCAACCGAACTTTGACCGCTTTCTAAGTGGACAGCAAGTACCATACATTTTTTCAAGCCATCGTCTGTAGACTCCGTAGACTCATACACATAACTTCAGCGACATGAAACGGTGCACACCTAGCCAAGCGGCTAGCTGCTATACAAAGGATTTAACCCATCCAACGCAGATGATTTGATTTCAGCAGTCACTACTGCAGTACCACGAGGTCTTTGCCAGTCTCCAACTTGCAGATTTCTGCGTTGCTCATTCCTTGTCCACGCTGGACTTGAACAATCCGATGCAAGCACCAGTGGTCGTATGGATCCCCCCCCGTACTACAACATTGTACACTGTCGTTGGCCTTAACGATCACAAGCCTGCGTTGTAATCTGAGAGCGCGCGTTCGAGCCTGCGTAGGGACCGAGTGACCCTCGCAGTATCCTTAGCTCACGAGGGACTAATGGTGGTTGCGCGGCAGCAAAGCGTCGGTACTGCGTATCGGCGTACTGCTGATACTTTCGTAGCTTATACGGCACTGAATAGCTTCGGGCGCTTTGATGATGCGTGATGTAATCTCAGTGCTTTGATCCCCATAGGTGACGCACTGCGCAGAAAATGAATAGATCGACTGTTTCTGGTGGTTCTTTGGTGATGATATGAGGAGGTGGCTTTCGGGCCCAGTCCACTCCAGAATCGTTAGACGCACACGGAAGCGTACAGTGCCACTCAATGCTTTGTTTTGGGATGCTTGTATGGCATCCGAGCCATACCCGAAGAGAGCTATCTCGTCCGCCTACTTTTCGTTCACCAATCGGTTATTCAGCAGAAATACTCCAGAAGAGGCCGACAGTGCAAATCACTTCTGAGTATTTTAGTCACTAGTTTGATGGGAAAAGGGAGTAAGTGGAAATGTTGATCGCCCTCATTTGAAGTGATGCGTTTAGTAAATAGCTCCCCTGAGATATCCTCAGTAGAGAGATTTTGGAACAGGTATTTCTTGTTACTCCTTTCAACGATGACCGTTCCTGCAAGATACACAGCCAGCTGAAATATTGATAGATTTCCTTTGAAAGTATTCTACTATACTAGACAGTTCGTACGAATATGTCCTACTACTCGGAGAACTGTAGCCGGTGGGGAATCCAGTCCGGTCCTCATCGATTCAATTGCCTTAAGAATCATATAATGTTCCCTATAGTTTTAAACCACTGCCCAACGAGCCTCTTCTGTCCTCTAGCAGCGTTGGAAGAGGGTTTTTGAGTCCAGTTGCCTTAAACCGTTTCAACAAAGCAAATTTACGTTGTTTCTCTTCTAAGGCACGAAACGCCATGAGTGAGCCACACGGGGATATTTGATTCTACAAATGATAATATCACCTGCTCACATGCTCCGCTACTCAAGTATTTACCGGTCTTTCTAACCGTGTTTGGAATGAGTCAGTTGGGCAACTTTCGACAGCGAAGATCTTCCTGTACTCATCGTCATATCACTGCTTGGCGGAATTCCAGTCCAGGTTCTAGTACAAAACTCTGGAGGCTGGAACTTGCGACGTCATGAGTGTGAGCACTAAGACATTGTCAAATTCCAATACCATCATTGTGAACCTGGACTCTGGCATTTTGCATGGCATACGTGCCTTTGTTGTCCATTGCGCTGCGTTTAGTTGCACTTCTCAAGTACAATTGGCGTCACTTTTACCATGCAGGTCCATAGTATGAGGTTAGACAGGTTCAATCACCTTATCCACTTCATTGGAGGTTGAGTGAGGACCACTAACTTTCGTCTCTGAAATCCGATTACGAAAGGTTTTGGTTACAGCTCATTAGCCCATTTCGATTAGCATAAAGCACGAGTACAACAAGTTGTGTCTGATGGTTTTATATTACAACCCCTGCTAGCCGGGATTGAAAGGTGCTAACCTGCCGAAACTCACCAATAGCTGACCGTCGTGGTAGGCTTTTGCTTTACGACAGTCGAAGACCTTCATAGCCAGTTCCGGAAATCTCAAGGTTACTTGTCATCCTTCGCACCTAAAAGTGGGACCTTTTAGTCACATTCCTGAATTGGACCTATCTTTCGGAACATACCATTGAGTCATACTCCACCAGTGAATGTGCTGTGCTTGCGACATTTTCTAGCGGCACCACCACCGGAACGTGCATAGTAACGGCAGTTGCGGCGTCGTCTGGTGTTGCGACTTCGACTACACGAACGAAGTGTAACCATTGGCTACTTTTGGTTTAGATCAGCTGTTTCATCCGGTCTTCCGAGATGTCGATTTCTGTTGTTGAAGTCGCACATAGTAGTCACGTAGATGTTATATCTTCTTCGCCATTCGAACAAGAGTGCAATGACCTCTTTCATTACGAGTATTTCACTGAGTTGATGAAACGGATGGTTTCTCCGTTTGTACTTGCTTAGATTTATCTTATTTGCCCCCCCCCCCCATGTGGCCTAAAGGATCATAAGCCTGCTTTGTAATCTGACTTCGCGGGTTCGAGCCTGCGTAAGGGACCGGGCTACCGTCGCAGTATCTTTAGTCTTCGTGCGACGTGATGCTTGTGTGACACCAAAGCGTCGGTAATACCCACCAACGTACTCTTTGTCTTTTCCTATTTAGCTGCAAGCATTTGATACGCCACTTGGCTATTGGATGTCACGAATAATCACACGTCAAAGTCCAGTCTAAGTGATAACTCTCCATTCTGGTGCCATAAATCCCCATACTCACTGTTCCTCTCCGTCTGGAATCACGGGTTATTTCAAGCGACGCACAAGTTTTATAGTTGGTTCCTCTGATACCGGCCCTTTGTCCCTCCTCATTTTTGTTTTTCGGAGCATTTGCCATACCGCTTTCTCTATCTGATTTAAGCCATAACATTCTATTCTATTGTTTTCTGGCAACGTGTTTAGTTATGTGCCCATCACATGACACTTGGACAGTCGAGACTGTTTGCATCTTTGACCCATCAGTAATCTACTCGGCACTCTGGCTGCCGTTTTTCTACATGGAAGTGGCTTCCGCTGTTTCGTGGATGTATTTTCTTGTCAATCGCAGAAACAAATGCATCGGCAGTGCACCGGCACACTGTACCGACGTTTCACTGCTAATCAATCACCACCACCGAGCGCGTGTGGCTGGGTGTACCACGAGGTCCCCCGCACCTACGTGTATTCGAACCGGTGACCTTCGGAGTACAGGGCAAGCGTGTAACCCTTTCGTTCACGGGCCAATCACAGAGAGAAATCGTCAGGTGGAGTGGCTGGTTTTAAGATAGAGCGATTATCATGCATCGCATCATGCAGATGCCAATTACGCCAACAGCAATTTGTGAAATTGGTTGTCTTTGACTACCGTTATATGCAAACTGTCGATCGTGTTTTGTTGTAGTTATTACGTTATCCCGAAATCGATTGACTCTTTTCGACGCCATCTCGGGATTTTCTGGGAACTTCTCGGTTATTCTTCTATATAGGTATATAAGGGGATACAATGAAACAATAATCTTAGGTTGTTCATTTATCCTACATCTTAGCAATGGCTGCAGTATTGACAAATAACCAGTACGCTGTTCGCAGATGTTTGTTGTACGAGTTCCTACAAGGGCGCAAAGCTCTCGAGGTTTGTCGAAACACGCGCGACTTACTAGACACGGATGCTCCAAGTTACGGGATAGTGAAATTTCTGTTTCGTCAATTCAAATTAAGGAAATACGAATTTTCAAACCTCGGAGATCAAAGATACAAGCCAGTGGAATCTGTTAGCAACATCCAGGATGCTCTAAAGAAGAATCCGACACAAACTTTGCGTCACATTTCGTTACACATTGGTCTTTTATAAACCATCGTTCATTTCCACTTGCGCCACTCGGTAATGGTCCCAAACCCCAGACACTTGTACCAGCAGCTTGTGAACCGTTGTGACATCGCACTTTCATTGCTCACTCGAGGGTGCAGTCATCGATGGTTGAACGATGTCGTTACTGGAGACAAGAAGTGGGTGCTCCGTGTCAACCACAGCAGGTAGCTCCAATGGATCGCAGCAGATGAAACACCAGTACAAGTCTTGCAAGGCGAACTGCACGGCAAAGAAGTGTTGCTCTCGGTCTGGTGGGATTGTCGGGGCGTCACCCATTGGGAACTGCTACCTTAAAGTACCACGGTTACTGCCTGCTATCAACAACTGCAACGGATTGTCGACGAACATCGAAAGAAGCGTCCAAGTGCGGCTCAAATCTTTCTTCTGCATGACAACGCACATCTTATTGTGGAAAATATGACGCGTCTCAAAATTCAGTAGCTCGATATCGAAACTCTTATGCACCCAGCATATATCCCGAACCTCGCTCATACTGATTACCACTTTTTCCGCTCGCTGCAAAATCACACTAAAGACAAGAGATTCGATGACTGCAATCATATCGAAACGTACCTCGCCTAATACTTTGACAGGCAGTCCAGCTAGTTCTAAATGTGAGAGGCATCGACAGCTTGTCTGCGCGTTGGCAGTAGACCGTCGATACCAATGGATGTTACGTTGAATTACTATTGTTACTTGTTTAAAAGATAATGCTTGAAACAGTGCTAAAAGGGTCAGTTGATTTCGGAAAACCTAATATTGTAGCAGCAGCCCCTTCAGCACTGTACTGGACCATCTGTTGAAATTGGAACCATTTACGCTCAGCACTTCTTGTGTGTTCGCATACCCGTTACACACCTGCCTCACCCTACCTTGTAAGCCATACGGCAAGTCAGCTGTGGGAAGTTGACACTGGTAGAAGTGTCACTTGACACTTGCAAGCTTGGTTGGGTTCAGCTTCACCTTTGCATGACCTGTGCTCAGTCTGTGATGCATATTTTGCTCTCATTTATATATTTTTTCTCTCTACAGATCTCGTGCTCTGCGGTTCAGTCACTTGAGGTTCCGTACAATTACGTCGTCGGAAGTGTAGTCACTTCATGTGGACATCCGACTTTTCATTCGATCCCGTCTACTCCGTATCCAGCCGAAAATGGATATAACGTTTCCATGTGGACTCGCGACCCTAATGTTCGTTGTTTCCAAACTGTCGGCGAGCTGTTGACTTATTGTCAAAAAATATACGACAGCACACCACACGGTAAAGTGAATCAAGTTGTTCTCGACCCTTTCCGACACTCTACTCCCAAGCGACCCTTGTATTCGTCGCTTATCGCAACCACGAACATGAGAAGATACATGTGTATGCGTAAGTTTTTTTTATACTGTCGGTTCTATCAACTTCACGGAGTCGTTATTTCGTCAGAACTCAGTCTAACACGGACGACTGCTATGTCATTTTTAAATTCACCAGGAGAATGTTAGTACACTTGGTCATTCTGTCGCGCAACGTTGCCGTTGGGACTCACCGGGCAGCGACGACTGACGTTGTGTTATTACCTGCTATCTATCCCTTGGTCTTTCGAGTTTTTCCGCTTGTTGCAAAAGCTGTCCCTTTGGATACACTTGTTGACATGGTTATGAGCCTACCTCAATGATCTTAGTGTTGTGTGTTTGTCCCCAACCTCCCGTTCTGCATCCTCGTTCATCTACCATCTCAATTATTAGGCATAATGTGACTTTTCTGCAGCACAATATCCGGCTGTTATCTCTCCGTAACGATGTCCATCCGTTATTGGGGACTCAGTCGGATTGCCTCAGTTACACTTTTTTTTTCTTTTATATTGCGGCACCACAGATGAGGTGTTTTCCACCTACAGCTAACGTGTATCATGATGATTGATGTCCCCTCAGGGATACTTATATTTCATTAGATATTGTGAACCAGCGGAATGGACCACCAGATGTACAGTTCCTAAGGGGGTTGAATACACATATATTGTTGGGCCGCATCTCGACGCTGTTACACTGTGTATGGCAATAACAACCTGGTTGTCGCCTATAGGGCCAAATGGAGTTACTTGCTCTTCCTCTCAAAAAACTATGTCAACTAATTACCGGATCCACATAGCCGAGACACTGCCTGTTGCATCCGATTTTAAAGTCAATTCGGTTCACTTGCCTTTTGGTTCATTATTTGTTATGTACTTTTACCGTTTGTTTTACTGTTTGTTTGTAACGAACTGTCTGCATGCTGGTCTATTCAGCTTTCATTTTTCTCTCGTGGCGACGGACTTAGGTGCACGTCCTCACTATACCACAATTTACTCTTACATATTCACAATAATCCGTATCACGTAGTGACAAAAGGTAAGCACCTCTTTAGTCCCAACGCTCTGTTTCCCACAAATCCAACAAACTGAAATACTGCCTTTCGCCTGCGTTCCGTTGTGTTGTTTTAGATACCTCTTAGTTACTTTAAGGTAAGCTAAATCAACCCAAATTGCGATTACATACCGCAATCCGAACACACTCCCCTTTCGGGCCACTCACCAACTTCGTTTTAAGTGAGTTCTAGACGGCTGTGTACAGGATTATTAGGAATAATTCCAAAAGTTGTTCACCACATCTACACTCTAAGACAATCATTATTCCACATCTGGAGAAGCACTAGACTGCCGTTTCATTTTTCCGGGGAACCACAACAGTGTGCATTTCTGTGGGGTAGAACTTTCGATCTTGTCAAGATCCCTAGGTCTCCGAGGCTAGTGCCAGTCACCTTATTCAAGTACCTTGCTGTGATATGTCACGGCGCTCATTCTCTGCTGTCACGCGCATTTACACCTTGCAGGGCACACAGCAGCCGCTTTGTGACAACTTCTGCCATCCTTCCGCATGTGCGGTGATTGTCTGTCTCATGTTTGCTGTAAAATATCTCTCTCAACTGGTTTACTTTTAATATGAATCAGTATCAGAAATCAGTTCAGGGTGAAGAATTCTTTTCGGCAAAACTCTCATCGGACCCAAACGTTTACATAACAGTGATTGAAGGATAGACTACCGTCGTTCACCCGTTCAGTGATAGTTTATCAGTACTCGTGCTCCTGTGGTGCACGATACGTGGGTCGCACGACGAGGCGCCTATCTCAGTGCATTCGTGAACATGTCCCGGCATGGTTTTACAAAGGCGAAATGAGGTCTTCAGACAGTTCAATCATGTCGCACCTCCTTGAATGTGGCCATACAGCTTCAGTGAATGACTTCAAAGTCATTTACTCACTACCTGAACACTTCTTCAAAGGATTCCGCAAACAGCTCTTATCCATCGCCGAGGCTATCTACATTCACCATCTGAAGCCGGAATTATGTGTACAAAAACGATTCATACGGCCGATACTACTACATTGGCCAACCGACACTGTTATTTAGTTATTTGGTTGTCATCTTACCTACTTAATTACTTTGGACTACTGAGCTTTGCGTATGCATGTGTATTTAGTTTACTTGGTTTACCATCTCTATCACTGTTTCGAGTTATCGATTTTGACCATTCGAACAGTCCAGAAGTCAATCCCAGCCCGAGTTGACGCTTTCCCCACCATCCGTTTTATGTAAACGTTTTGGTCTGATGAGAGTTTACCGAAAAGAACTCTTCACCCTGAACGGATTTCTGATATTGATTCATATTAATGAAATGGGAATGTTTGCTTTGCTGAAGACCAGCATTGTCCATGATTCATTGAAACTCTTGAATGGTTTACTTTTGTTTCGCGGCCTTGTCCTATCACCGGATGTTGACGCGCTTGGTGATACGACAGGAATTCCCCACCATGACATTAGCAAGACAAGTAAAAACGAATGAAGCTAAAAATGTAAACTGTCCCAGAAGGGCTTTGGTCACTTTGTTTGGGTGTTTTTTAGCTAAAGGGGGAGGTTAGATGCAGACCCATCACTTGCGTCTTTGATAGAATTTCAGAGAATCTCTGAAATGGAAGCGAGAATTTTATTACCTCCTGGAGTCAAATTTGCGCACCAACCAACGGAGACAATTCGTAGGGAACTATTCAAAGTAGCGAACTCTCCAAGTAGCAAACGATTTTTGTGATCCATATGATCTGCTGCTGTAACTGTGACAAATACTACTAGGAACAGATAGGAAGAATGCTTGGAACACAGCCTGGACATTCGTCGCCACCATCAGATCTCCCGGATGTCCGTGCATATGGATGTCGAAAACACCCAATTTGACCTCGAGCACGACAACGCTTTCAGAAGGGCCAAAAGCCGGCAAGCACCTGAGCTCATAGGAGCCTGGCATTCAAAGCAGAGCTCGATCTATAAGTACTTGGACCTGGAGGTTACTTACGAGCCACTGCGAATCAGGCCCTTAAAAGCCGCAATGATGCTGTTGCTTCCTAGTCTGGCAACAAAACGTTTGTGAAGCAATCACTCAGCTCGCAGCACAATTCATAATCCGCATCCACACCCCGAGCTACGGATGTTCTCAGTTATCTCTGTTAGTTTATTTGCTTTGCCGTCTTGATCACCGGCGTTTGCGAAATGGTACTCACCACTGGTGGGAACACAGCATGAGCAATTTTCGGTTCAAGCATTTTGTTTTTAGAAAGAGACAGTCTGTTTGACCCACTTAGGTTGATCTCCAACGAAGGAAGCTCAACCGATAGGGGCCAACTCACACTGCATATACAAATTCGTATGCGACTGCGGAGACACTTACATAGGCAGAACCAATCGGTCTTTGACTTCCCGAATAAAGGAACACGTACCAAGGTGGGTTCAACGTGAAATTGACCAGAATCCCTGTCCCACTGAAGTTCCGTGCTTGCGCAAACCGCCAGCTTCCTCAATAGGTAAACACCTACTGACTACGCGTCACCGGATAGAGCTCGGATCAGCGTTCACACTTGTATTACGTCACCCTAATCCCCGCTTCCTCCGTTTCGCCGAGGCGGTTGCGATAAGCCGGATGAAGCCGGCCCTGTGTGTTCAAAAGCAATTACTTATCAGCTTAAGACTGCCGTGGACATAGGTGTGGAACTTCCGTCATTCATTTTTCACCTTATGCTTATTCGGTCACACACATATTTAAGTATATAGTTGCATACCGGTTATTGTTAATGGTACTGAGGAGACAATACGAAATGCATGCATCTACCAGTTTTCGTCTTCTTACCGTGCTTTTCAAATTTCTGAAGGGAACTAACTGCTTTAAATGATCTCTTTACGTCGAATATATCGTGTTCTTCGTTCGTTTACCTGTTCACTGTCTTCTTCGATGTGCGTTATGTGCCCCGAGGTGGCCAATCCATAACGTTGCATGAGGGTATAAAGAAATTAACCGAAATGTCCTCATCCTGATCATTCGACCCACTTAAGCTGGAGGTAAGAGACGTTTCGGCTACCGTGCCGTAATAATACAATGGAGTAAGATATTTGAAAAGAAGGTACGAACTTTGAGTTGTACGGAATATAAAATAGAAGCAACCGTTATGCATTTTATACGTCAATAATGAGATGGTGGTTGGAAGTGCGGACTGGGTGGATGGACGAAGGAATTTACAACGCCACTAAGGTCGGTTCTTAGCCATGTCAACAACTGTAGCTAAACAAATGCGTCCATCGTCTTTTGGACACCAGCCCAGCAGTCCGAAGACACCAATCGACGCCAAGTTCGAAGTGACGATTTTCATTCCTCTTGACCAATTCATTGCTTCGCCTCCCCTCCCCTTCTTTCACCCAGACCTCGGTTGTGCAAACAACGTACGATGCGGGAGTCGGTGTGCTATCATGTGCAACACGTGACCCAACCACTGGAGCCTGGTGCGTGAAATGGCGGTTCACTCGCTCTTCCTGCACCAAATACGTGACGCCGAATACGCTCATCGCTCAGGTGGTGTTCCCAACAAACGAACCAAACGGTGGTCAAACGCAACTGACCTATTTTGTCTGTCTGTGTGACGAGTCAGATTTCATAACGATGTAGTAGGATTGAACGTATAGCTGCATCTGGACGAGTGATTTCGCACTGGCGCCATAAGTGGAGCAAAAGCGCTTTGAGCTTTGGCTCTACGGTTTGTCACTTCATCCATCTTGTGAGCTCATCTTTTATTCCACTGGCGCTGATACAGCTGCCCAGGTAATTGAATCTTTGACCAACTTCTAGTCGATCACCGCCAAAGATCAGCCCAGGGAGTGGTCCGTGCCAATCTTGGAGGAATGTTTTGCATTTAGAGGGTGCAAAGCGAAGCCCGAAATTTCTGACAACCAATGGTAATCCGTTCATTGCTGCTTGGAAGTTTTCGTGAGATGTATCAGATTCGGACAATACCGTCAGCATACTCCAAGAAG